CTGAGCTGCGCGCGGCGAACTGCGCGGCGATTTGGACGGTTAACGGTCTCTTGGACATTCCTCGATGATTCTGCCGTGAATGTTTAGATACAAAAGTCAGAGAACAGCGCATGGCACGTCTCCAAGTCCCAAGGATGAAAGTGAGAGCTCTAAGGCTGCAGCCTTGCGAGAGGAGGGGAACACGGGGGTGGGCGAACTGACTACAGTGTGCAGAAGTTTGAATTTGTTATATCACAGTAGTCATGAGGCGTCATTTGGGCGAGAGAGCGCAGATGGGAGCATCAAATCGAGGCGGTTTGAAGGACCGAGTTTATGTTGTTCGTAGGCGCAAGATACGATAGGTGCGGTAGCCGCATCGCGGCGGAGAGTTGCGTGATTCCGGACGAGCCAAATGTCCGTCGCCCACGAATAGGGTTGCTTTTCTGGGCTGGCGAACCTGCACACAGCTGGCGATCGCTTTAGAACCTTCAAGAAATGTTGCAGAATTGGGCTGAATTGGTTCCGAAGCGAAAGAACATTCCGCCAGCCGAGTGCCTCAACTACGACGAGTACGAGTTTTCCAGACTATTTCGCGCCTGTGATATCGATATGCTGCATATTGTGAATGTGAGTCATTTTGCTTTGAAGAATCAATTTTTTACGTTTACGTTTGGATGCCCTGCGCGGCGTTCCTCGACATATAGAAATTATTTTTTCTTATCTGCGCCCTTTTCTGGGATATTATCCATAATCCGTGGTCCACAGCCGCATTGAACGGCCGTGTTCTCGCACATTACAACTCGGTTCGCAACACGTTGAATGGTGTAGTCACATCCATGCCTTCTTCTGAAGCAATGGGGCATTGTTCTCAGTATCCTGAGAGCTTAGGCCCTAGTAACGTGCAAAGTTGTGGGTTGCTATAACTCTTTTGCGGAACGCCGTATAGCTTGTTTCCCGAGGAAATCGCTCCCAAATTCCCACTTCATTCCTTCTGTATCTGATCACTTTCTGTAGTGTCAGCACCGACGAGATGAAGCTGCGGCCTCGAGTGGTTGTGCTACTCAGATTTCTCAACTGTTCTTTTGTAGAGCTTTCCCAAATGATCCGAATTAAGGTGGTTTCCCAGGTTCCCACGGCAGAACATGCCGTGATTGCAGAATTAAACAACGCCAGGGTTGGCTTCGAAAAAATCAATGTCAGTAAAATTTATTTGATAGACGAGTCTCATCCCTTGTTGGTTGAATGTGTGGCTCGTATGTGAATCACAGCGGTGGCCTCCTTAAAGTGGTCTTACAAAAACCGCGTGTAGTCATGTGTGGAACAAGTGGAAGGGAATTTTATGCCCGTTCAAATCAAATTCACAAGCTAAGCGGCAAGCCGCCCCGAGCCCATTTTCTGCAGCTTTCTTATTAGCAATGGCAATTGCGTTGTATTTCTCGTATGCGTTCGGGAAAGCATTAGGCAGTACCGAGTACCATTTTCAGAAGAAATACTTTTTGACTTCCTCCAAATTGACCCCCAACGAATTCATCTTTTTCGGGCGGGGGGGAGGGATGCAGTACTCTTACGAGAAATTTGTCAGCCCAGGGATTTTGTGCTGTTATTGTTCCGAGAATATCAAGAAAACAAAATATTTTATGGTTTTCAAATGTTGACGGGCGGGCTAATTGCTGAAATTATGGTCCTTTCAGTGATGCTATCAGACCTGGACGGCAAGTTCAAATATCAGTGAGAGATCGAAGTAGTAGAAATAGGTTCGGATGGTCCGTTAAAATCCTAGTGCGCAGATCTTATCATGCCCAATTGCCCGCAAAGGTCTGGGAATTTCATATTTCAGATAAAAATGTCGGAAGAGTTCGTGATGTCATTCCTACGAATGGTGGCTGTGAACCAGATCAGGAATCTCCAGTTCAACTTTGGGATCTGCCACTTCTCCTGTGACCCAAGCACTTTCTGCCGACTCATGGAAGTTGTCCAGTTGAAAGAACTGTGCATCATGAGCAGTACAGAGGACGATGAACAGTTCTCTGCCCGTGTTGTCGCTTCTCCCACGGCAAACAAGGTACTGTTTTTGTTCCACTCGCCCCTACGGAAATTCCAACAGCTCTAATTTCAGTTGAATCGCCTTGCCGTTGGGTTTCCGTCGAGGATTTCTGATGACTACCTGCTCTCCTCGAATCATAGCTGGCTAGCCGTCAAGGATACCAACGTCAGCGCATCGGCTATTCGGGCGTTCATACTGGATTGGATGCATGGGCGGAGATCGTTCGACTATATGGGACTGAGCACGAGTTGTCGTCTGGAAGCCGATCGGATACTGGAGGATTTGGAATATCGCCAAGTGGACCATTTCACTGTGATGTTGAGCAGTAAACACGGTGAAAAGATGGCGCTGACGATTGAAGAGAACGCGTTTGTTATGTACAATAGGAATGCCGAGAGAATCATGTGCGAAATAGAGAGTTAGGGGTGTTGAGGGGTATGGGGCGTTTCTTCCTAGTGAGGTACTCGTTCAAACAAGTGCGTCACTGTGAGCAATGACCACATGCCGTAAAATTCAGCACTTTTATTTAGAAAAAAAGGTAGCCGTGGCACAGCAATCGCGCCCGTGATGCAACAGTGACTCACGCCGTCCCTTCGGGAAGAGATGCCCCTTCTCAGGACGATACTGTTTAGCCGGTGGGGCATCTTCAGCGACGTCGTCATGCGGCAAAACTTTGTACTGCCTCCGAACCTCAAC